CAACTAAAGGTCTGACTTTGCAGTAAATGTTTTAAGCGAAGAGTGTATCAGAGTACTCTCAGAAAGCAGAAATGAGATCTCAGGAAAAAGCTTTCTATTTCATAGGGTAAGTTCATAATATTCACACATTACGCATCATCTACAAACATCAATTTCTGATGCTATCATTAAATGTGTTATTCTAGTATCAAGACAGTGTCCTGTTACAGGACAATCTTTTACAGTCAGGAAGGAATAGCCTGTGATTCAGAAGGCTCCTGCGAGGATTTTCCCAGTGTGCAAGGCTGCCCTTTCTGTTTTTAAATTACACGCCCTATTTTTCAGAGGAATTTAATACTTTTCTGGCAAAGCCACAAGTGCACAGCACCACCTGAGAACCTGACCACTGTGCCGTCTGCTTAGAGGGGCAAATTCAGAGCACCTGCACTTAAGGGGTCTGTAATTCGTGTTTAGAAAAAAGCAGTAAGCACCTGCAGAGAGCTGTCAAAGCTCGGCTATGTAGAAATAGCTGCTGGGAATGCTTCAGCATGAGTGAGCAGCCAAGTCTACTGCTCACAAGGAATGAGATTATCATCTCCACCACATGCAATGCACTTTTCTAAAAGCCAGAACATTACTGCATATTTGCAGTGTTTCCCCCACCCCAAGATTCATGACAAGTTTACACACAAGTCTAATTTTGGAGAGTTGTTTCTAATACCGTTAGTAAAATGCCTTTTTCCTCCCCCCCTCTATTTTTAGGAAAGAAGATACAGTCATGTAGCCCCTCCTCCTAGTATCTTAAGCTTCAACTAGATAAGGGTCTGTCTGGCAGGGGCTAGAAAGACAAAAGAAGCAGCAGCTTTTCTTGGTTACCTCGATCTCCAAGAGAACTAAAGGATCTCTCATTCTGGAGCAGGACCTGTTTCAGCTCCTCGAGTTCTGCGTGTTCTTTTGCATACATGCGTTTCAGGTTTTCCACGTGTTGAATCATTACTTCCACAGCCTTGCTGACACGGCTCTCCTAACAGAGCGAGTGCAACAGCAGTAGGAAAAAGCAGCGGCTCTTTGAGCAACTGCATCGTGTGCAGAGTTTAAGACACCCCCCTCCCCCCGCCTTCAACGTTCTCCTCTCATCTTGTATCACTGTGTTGCAGCATCCTCTCGTTTTTTCCACCCTTTCAAAGTTTCTCTACAACCCATCTCCCAACATGTGCCCAAGTTACACAGGTCTCATTTCTGCAGTGATTACTCCTATCCTAAAATAAATTAGTCTTCATTTTCTGAGCCCTTACGACTCCTCCTCATCTCTTTCTCTGATCTACAGTCTCAGCTGCCACCACGCATTTGGTAGTATTGCCAAGTCATATTTTCATGCTGTTCTTTGGTGTTATGCACAGTTACACATACATTTGAGCATGTCTTTGTAAATTTCCATAAGTTTAGCTTATTAGCTGCGCTTCCCATAAGGCACAGGGTTACCATTAGAGTATCAAGACTATTGTTACCACGTTGCATTCTTGTGCTCTCTACTGTATATATCCCTCTGATGCAGTTTTTTTCTGGATTTTTGTTTGTTAGGGTTTTTTTTTTTTGCTTTAAAATCAAGACCGTATTTCTGTTGTGTGTTTTTGAACAGCGCTAGTGCAACATAGCTGCTCTCATGGTGCCTGGCATTCCTTATAGTAGCACAAACAGTGATCTGAGGGAACCAGGACTAAGCTGTACTGGTCAGTCTGCATTACCTACACTACATTTCCAAATCTAATTCTGGAACCATAAGCCTACTAAACAGCTGCTGCTATTCCTTTACAAAATATGTTTACATGGAAACAGTTACCTGATTAATAGCTCCCAACATCTCTGCTCTGCTGGCGACTCGGGCTGCATACTGACTAAGGAACTGCAAGCTTTTCTGCAGCTTCTTAATGATCTCCTGTGCTTGGTTATCTTCTTCACACAAAGGAACTAAAGACTAAAAGACATATTGGTAAGAAAAACAGTGTGAGCTATTAGTAGAGACAGAAGGGTGAACCCAACTGATGACACTGAGGAGTTGTGTTCGGGCCCAGACAGTCACAAGATCAGCACCCCATATCCTCAGTCAGTGTAACTTGGATACAGACCTCCACTGGGCAGAGACCTCCACTTACCCAGCATAAAACCAGGTGCAGCGGGGGTTCTTGCCCAACACCTGCGCAACAGGAAGTTTCCCCACTGCCTGAGCACACAATACACCCAGATGAAGGCTACCCCTCAAACGCAAAGTCTGTCATATTTCAAGTGCATCACTTCAGAACTTCATTTAGATTTGCTCATAGTGTATTACATACACAAATCTTAAGAACAGCCATGTTAGGAGAGGCACTTTCACAACCGTCCATCCCATCCACCCCACCAGCTGTGGCCAATACTAACCTCTAGCATCTTCAGAGCATTTGTGATCTCCTTTTTCAAATTTTCTTCAGCCAAGTCTCGGGACCTTTCTTCAAGCCTCACTCTCTTGTCCAAGGTAAACAAGTCACATTTAAAACCTAAAGACAACCTCAGAAATTCAGCCTGTTGTGGGAGAGAAAAAGGTTTCAGAGTAATTCAGGTGATGCAGAAGCTTTTAGAGTAGATTTGGGTACCTGCATGACATTTGGGACTATACCTCATGAACAAAGTCATAGGAGAGGTACAGAAGAGAAAGCCAACAACCTGCTTCCACAAGGCCAGTCTCCCTACCTGTAGTGACTGGGGAAATAATCTGCAGCCAGAATAGGTGATATCCTGGCAGCAGCACACAGTGTGCCATCTGTGTCTTTTGACAAAACTGTCTTAAATCAGCACATTCCGCCTGGCAGGAGGTCACAGCTATGCTCCTTCAAGCTTGCAAGCAAATGTTTCAGTAGTGACAAATCTTTTGTTCAGTTTTACACAGATTTCCACCTTTCCCCATGCTATCTCTTCCAAAATTTCCGTTGGGCTTGGAAAGACAAATTTCAGAAGCCAACTTATAGAAATACATCCAGTTTAAGGTACTCAGCATCATTCTTTTACATAGGACAAGATATCAATCAGGGCTTATCTACAAGATCTTTCTGTTGTCAGAGATACTTAAGGATACAAAGACAGTCAAGACTTACCTCCACTTCTTTCTCATTAGGGGAGTCACTGTAGGATAAGAAGAAGAAATCATGTAACAGACTGCAGCTTTAAACTCATACCTGCAGGTGATCATCGAAAGTCAAAACACTTACGGCTCATTTTGCTTTGTTTTATCTCCTTTAATGCCACCTGCAGTGGGTGAACTCCCTGAGAAGAGAGAAAAGGAAGTTCTCAGACAAAAGTGAAAAAACAGAGTGCCGAAAACAGTTTGTGAAAGTCTTTTAAACTTCCACAGAAGCCACGGCTAAAGCTCTTGCCAATAAAATCAACTTGTGTAGCTCAGAGTATATTAGGGGTAGAGCGTCAGTAAGACAGCACAGCACTATCACTCGTCCAAAGCCCCAAAAGTCAGTTGTTTAGTTGGCTTCAAGTGGCATCTAATTACTACAGGAATGGTTAATTATAAGTTTTGGCTTAAGTCCCTAGCACACAGGTTCAGGGTGTTATGTGACTTACTACATCACTAGCTTTCAGTGAATTCCAAAGGCAAAAGTGAGGTGACTAGAAGAGTGGAGATATCTGAGCACAATTCAGTAAAAACATCATCCTGTTTATCTATATCATATTACTCCAAGCTCTAGCTAGCATAGAAGATGCTGCTTTACAAATCTTTGGAGAGAGCAGGCATGCCAGAACTGTTTCAAATATCCCAGCTCCTTTGTGGGTCCTAAGAAATTTTCCCTCCTGTCTAGAGGAAGATGGAGCCTGTTAGATCAGTATCTGTAGAAATCAGAGAAGCAGATTTTGCACAGTAATATTTTCCTTCTCTCCACTGCTAATCCATTTTGATCTTTAACTGCAGCTACTGTTCCTTAAAACAAACCCTCCTCATAATAATTGGTGTGGGGCAGGCTGCTCTCTTTACACAGCTCTTGACCTAGGTGACCAAGGTATGCACTCCAGTAAATTACATGACACCAAGCTGGGTGGTGCAGTTGTTATGCCAGAGGGACAGGGATGCCATCCAGAAGGACCTGGACAAGCTGGAGAAGTGGGCCCAAGTGAACCTCGAGGTTCAATAAGGCCAAGTGCAGGGTCCTGCACCTGGGCCAGGGCAACTGCCATTATCAATACAGGCTGGGAGAAGACATGGTAGAGAGCTGCCCTGTGGAAGAAGACTTGGGGGCACTAGGGGATGAAAGTGGATGAAAGTAAGACAGTGGATGAAAAGCTGGGCATGAGCCACCAGTGTGCAATTGCAGCCCAGAAGGCCAATTGCATCCTGGGCTGCATCAAAAGAAGGGAGTACTATGTCCAGCTCTGGAGCCCCCAGCACAAGAAGGACGTGGACCTGTTGGAGCATGTCCAGAGGAGGGCCACGAAAATGATCAGGGGGCTGGAGCACCTCTCCTATGAGGACAGGCTGAGAGAGTTTGTTTTTTCAGCCTGGAGAAGAGAAGACTCTTGGGAGACCTTATAGTGGCCTTCCAGTACCTGAGGGGGGCCTACAGGAAAGCTGGGGAGGGACTGTTTACCAGGGCACGTAGCGATAGGACGAGGGGCAATAGTTTTAAACTAGAAACAGGTAGATTTAGACTGGATATTAGGAGGAAGTTCTCTACCATAAGGGTGGTAAAGCACTAGAGCAGTTTGCCCAGAGAGGTAGTGAAGGCCCCATCCCTGGTGACATTCAAGATCAGGCTTGATGGGGCTCTGGGCAACCTGATCTAGTTAGAGATGTCCCTGCTTAATGTAGGGGGGTTGGACTAGACGACCTTTAGAGATCCCTTCCAACCCAACACTTTCTATGATTCTTACCTTTCCTACTTGGAACCACAGCTGGCACTTCCTCACTCTGCTCTTTCTTGTTTTTCTTTTCCTGGTCCACCTCCTAAAGGCGTATCAGAGAGCAGTTATAGCAAGGGAACAGCCACACCGCTGCTGGAGGGGCCTGTCCCCTCCTGCAGTATTTTTTTCTTGTCACTGCTTGCCAAACCAGTTCTATGTTTCACTGTCACTAGGACTCTTACCGTATCTTGCTTTAAAGTGTTCTGAAATGCTGTTTTGTGTTCATCCATCACGGGGCAGAATTCCTTCTTGGTCAGATCCACTCCTGAGGATAAACATTCCCAAAATGAAATGTAATGGTAAAACCAAAGCAAGACTCCAATGCCCGGTGTATTAGCCATGGACCAACAGGGCTAAAAAAAATTGCAGCAAATGCCAGGAGAGGGCGTTAAGAAGGAGAGGTAGCAGCGAACAATACTACAAAGACATAAAGGAGGAAGCGTGATGATAATTATGTTTGGCTTGGAAAAAATCCCAATAAGCAGCATTACACGTCTACAAGTGAGAATATTACTCCTGGTTGTAGTTGCTCTAGTTGAAGTTGCAAAAGTTACAGTAATATTCGCTTGGATAGATGAATTTTATTAATTTGCTACCACCATGGGTTCTTTGTTTGCTATTCAAGGAGAGTTTATAATTAATTTTTATTTGGAATTCTATAAGCACAGGAATATGTAAAAAATATCCCATGCACAAATTAACAGGAGAAGCGATGAATATTTTTTATTATCTTCTTTTGTGTTATGGAATATCAGATGAAGTCAAGAAATAGATGCTACTTCAGCTGCTGTTACAGAGGAGCTTGAGCACAACCAGGTCATGAAATGCATATAGTTGTGGCATTTCAGGTGTCCATAAGCTTCAAACCTCATCTGCCACTTGGGCTGTCCTTTGTGCCTAAAAACTCTCTTTCCCAGAAGACGAGTAGTGATGAACCGGTAAGTTCAGGAACAGATGATGCCAGTTCAAATGCAACACAGACTTTCGAGTACCTCAATTTAGAAAAGGTTTTAAATGGGCAAAAATAACCTCCAGAAGGACAGCTATTAAGATTTTAAAAGGAAAATATTTAAGAAACTGAAGAAAGTCCAAGAGTCACGGTAGTTTCTTGCGTAGCAGTCACCCTGGTAGCTGTTTATACCTTTTAGAACATCTAGAATTTTCCTTTTTTGGCTGTTTATGTAGTCATACACCCCCACAGAGATGCAAACCAAAGAAATGGCACAACAACAAGAAGCAGCTTCAAATTTGAAGTGCTTTCTCTTTTCATCCTTCACGTTAACCTCTGCTTAGTGCTCTTTTTTGTCCCTGATGATTTTTGCAGCAGCCCCTCTGTCTGACCTGGCTCCCAAGCACCTTTAGAAGACATTGTGTGGTACTAGCAAAAAAACACAAGTAGAGATTCATCAGTGCCTCCATTCTAATACTAGAAACACTTTCTATTCAGAGATGTACAACAGGCAGCAGGATTCTCAGACTTTAAAGCTATTTGGACTATTTCTGATCTGTTTTGCATATCTGTTTCCTCCTTGCCAGAGGCACCTAGACCACATATGAAAATTAACAGTAGAGGCAAATTAGTAGAAAGAAAACACATTTAAGTGGGGGGACTGAATTAGATTTCAGGAAGATAGTACTAAAGAAAGAAACAAAACCTAATAAGAAACAATGACGAAACGTCTTATATTTAGGTAAAGGTTAAAAAATGGTTACAAACAAGCATGCACACATATCCTGTGCTGCTTATTTAGATCAGCTTTTTAAAAATAGCTTAAATAGACTGTGTACACACACACCAGTTTTGTTTTGCTTTTAGTTTTCAAGTGGAAGAAGCACCATCAGATCTGGCAAGAATAATTCTTCTGGGTGATGATGGCTACAGCAAAAGACAAAACCATACACAGAGGCCTCTATCCTCATCTCTCCTCTCGACTCATCCCAGCTTCTTGTGTGCTGAACATCAGTTTTGAAAGAGAGGAAAGTGTTATATAGTCTAGCTGTGTCACTAAACTTTTTAAAACCATGAAAACATTTTCTCTCCTCCCAAAATTGCCTGGGGTTTAGTACCCACACAATGCTTTGCCAGCTGAGCAAGCATCAAGATTTCACTAAGTTATTTCACATTTACTTCTTGCAGGCTACTGACCTCCTGCATGTGAGTGAAGCCTTGTTCCTACCCAGGGTTTCAGGAAGGGTTGAAAGGACTTGCAGGCAAAAGTGTGTTCAACAACAGAAAATCAGAGGTTATCACAGTTATTTCCCTTGCTCAGCTTCCTCAGGTCAAAGACATGCTGGAAGGAAGCCGTTTCCTCACTGAGTGGGTGCCAGTGTGCTGCAGCAGTTACTGTACCTGATACAGGACCAGCTGGATCCTTATCGTTGTTTTTCTCCACTGCTACAGAAGTTGGCACCTCTTCCTCTTTTTCACGTGAGCGCTTGGATGATCTTTTCTCCATAACAAGGCAACCTGTAATATCAGGCAACAGAAGACAGAGATATTACTGTTCAGTAAGCGCACAGACTTGAGCATATCTATTTCCAAGACTTTCAGTGCAAAAAGTTCACATATTTGTGCCCCAAATTAAGGGCTTACCTGTTACTGGTGCAGTGCTTTCCAAAGAGGATGCAAGAACCTCTTGGGGTGATGTTAAGTGATCACTGCCAAAACAAAATTCTTTCAGATATTCATCTGCATGATACAATCTTGACAAAAGCTTTTAAAAGTTGTACAAAACCTGACCTGGATGGGGTCAGACTGGCTGGTAGCGTTGGCTCTCCACAGTCAATCTTAATGGAAAGAGAGAAGCATTTAGTATCAGGGAAAGGATTGCTGTGCGGGTAGAAAATTTGTGTGTCAGTTTTAATAATTCCCCAGCTGTTCCCAAATTATTTCAGCAGCGAAGAACTAGATAAGAGCACGCAGATTCATCTGCTAGTCTAAAGCCACCCATGCATACAGTATGTAGCTGAGCATGTTATCATCCTTAGGAGTGACAACTACGTTTCTGCAGAAATCTTATCTCAGGAATATCATACTTAGAGATGTATTTTTGTTCCCAACTTCATGTTTCACTTCTAACGCATGTTTTCAAATGACCAACGTACATGTTACCACAGCACTGTTCTGTCTTAATGCTATGCATCAAGATATATCCATTTTCAAGGTCTTGACCTCAAATCCTACAAGTGAAGCACACAGAGCTTCACTCGGCTATAGATGTCAGACTCATTTAGGTAAATGAAAGCATTGAAATGAACAGCTTGACCAAGCAGATAATCCAGAATGCAGAAGCCTTGCATGTTGTATTGTACACTTTAGTGTCTGTCTTCAAACGACCATTGTTATGTATAATATTGAAAACTATTACCTAACCCCTTCAGAAGGCTTCAGGCCTCCTCCTTTATGTGCAAACAGCAGAGAGGAATTCCACAGTTAAAAGGCGGGTGCGTAGTTTTGCTCATGTTCTTTTAGCTGCTAACAGTGCGGTTCTGGACCTGAGTCTTATCACATGACACCCTCTTAAGCCTTTTAATATGGCAAGGGAAATACTGAGTGGAAATACTGAGTGGGAAATATCCCTCTTCCTCATTTCACCCTGGGTAACTCCAGCTTGCTTGTTCAATTGATAGATTGGTCTCTTTATGGATGAAAATACAAGGCGAAACAGAAGTTTAAAGGGTTAAGTCAGTAATGACTCGTGATGAACTCCACCTACTGCTGAAGGCAAGAGCTGAATAGAAAGAAAAAAAAGTCAACCCCAAACCCAAACCTATCTCTAAGCAGAGAAGGTATGAGGCTAGCCACCTTTGGGTGTCCCAAGAGCACTGTTGAATTGGGACACACAGACACACAAGACAACAGAAAAAACACATCACCGAGTGATCACCTATGTTCTGGTACACTTCTTTCCCCCTTAGACATCCTCAGAGGACCCAGGAAACCCAGCAAAATAGAAAAGGAGGTGACCAAGGCCCCTCAATCATTTCCAAGAGCAACTGACTGCTCTCAGCACCAGTAAGTGCCTTCTCTCTCCTCTTTGCTCGCCCACCCATCAGAGCTCAACTGCACTCACAGAGCCTTGCCCCAGCCAGCCAGATGTCTCCCCTAATGCAAATCCAGGCTATTTTTGTTCTTATTTGAATTCTCTATTAAGCATAAGGAAGTACAGCATTGCGATTGCCTTGTTCAGGCCATTAGGAGCGTTGGGGAAGAAGGTGAAAACAAAGAGCACGTTAGAGTGAAAACAAAAGAAATCTAAAGGGCTTTTAAACACACACACGCATACAGCCCACACCATCCAAACAGGCAACAAAAAAACCCCTTGTACCACCTGAACTGACTAAAGCGATACATTATTCTACATGCCCTTTCCCTCCCCAGGTAATCATGTGGTCAGTGGTTTCTCTTTCCAATGAAGGAAAAACCCTCGGTTCAGTTTCTAAAACCCAATACTGACTATTAGGATTGTGAGGTCCCATGGACTGCACAGGGTGCATGTAAAGAGAACCAAGAAGAAAACCCCATATTCTAGATTTCCTAACAAAATCTGTTTGCACACTGCATTAAAGATTGGGTTTTCTTCCTAATAAAAGGATTGTGTCAAAGAAGATCCCGCAGTGTATTCTCAATCACTTTTTCCCCCCTCCATCCCTTCAATTAGCGTAATAATCCCAGTATCCTCTATCACAACAGGAGAATTCTGGCCACAGTCTCATATAATTCCTCCCAAACAAGCACTGACACCTGGTTTTAGACTGTGACATGACTTTCGTAAGTATAAAAAGCCCAAGCTTCACCCGGCTCTTGCAAGAGCTTCTTTAATAAATAACCCCTAAACGCCTACAGTGACAATGCTTTGGCAAAATAACTTGAGTTACTTACATGCTGAAGGGTTTGATCTGCTCAAACACATCTGCAACTACAGTGTAGTAAAAAAAAGTCTGGGGAGACTTTTCCTATTAAACAAGGATATTCAAATGTTGCTGCACATCATAGTTTTTAGAACAGATACTGGACTCAGCCTGTTTGCCTTTTCTCCAGGGCAAGCTTTAACATTTTCGTTTTCCTCCTCCAGAATATTCATGCAGAAAGTTTATATTAATTAAAAAAAAAAAAAAAGGCAAAAATGGAAAACAACATTTCTGAGGTCAGCTAGAGTTAGAAAGCTCCAGAGCAATGAAGCACAGGCATCTCAAACAACTTTGCAAGGCTGTGACTTTCCAGAAGGACTGGATAAAGCAAAAGCTCTTGAGATTATCCTCTTCAAGGTAGTTTAAGGAGTAGCTGCACAAGCTTGGAGTTCCTTACCTGCTTCGCCCCAACCGAGCAGTGTGCTGAAACCACAGGCAGTCCCCATCACTCTTAACTTTTACCCTCACTGCACTTTCTGCCTTGATTTGCCACTACCACCAGACCACTACTGCACTTGCAGGTACCACATACCAGCTGAGGTAGGTCTGAGGTTGAGTGCTCATCAGTCTTGCAAAGGTTATTTCCAGATTCACAGAAACCACTGACCGATATTCTTCGGTCATCGCCACCAATACCAATACTGGAGTTTGTAAAGCTAATTAGAAGCCTTGTGTACTAGGGCTGAGGTCTAGATTCAATAGTGAGTATTGTGGCACTGAGCACAGAGCACAACTAGGTGTGCTAAGCTGCAGCTCATCTTGCTGTTGCCATGAGAAAGCAGACTGACAGCGCAAGCTGTAGATGCAGGATTCTACGCAGCAGTGAAAGCGTATCGGAGCACATCACCTGAAGGCAAGTTTTCACACAGCAAAGACGTCGTTTTTCAGCTGTTACATGGTAGCAGTGGGAGAAGTGCAGAGAAAGGCACCATTCATAACTAAAACATCCTGTGGCTTCTTGCAGGTGGATAGAGAGAGAGAAATCACTCAGACTTCACTGGCAGAATGGAGTATTACTGCAGAAACAGTGCTGTCTCAAGTCTCGAAACCACATTTAAAATACCCCCCAGCTAAAAGCATGACCCAGAGGCACATGAACATGAAGACATTTGGGTCTACATGCCCAAATTGTAGAACTACAATACTCCAGAAGCATACCCAAATAGAAGGGACTACCCCCCACACAACAAGACGTCACAGCACCCTGCTGACAGATGTCAGCTCCCTTCACTTTGAAGCATTACTGATTTATAGCTGCTCAATCTGGATCTGGGTCACAGTAAGGCACTAAATGTTTGAACCCATTCAAAACCACATCTCTGTGACAGCACTCACCTCAGCAAGTGAAGAGTCCGTCATTGTAATGGAAACAGGAAGGTCTGCATCAGTATAGTTACCAGCAGAGCATATTTTCCACCTGGCAATACACGTTTTATTTGCATATTGCCCATTTTCCTTAAGCACATAACAACTGAATATCTGTGTAGTCAGACAGCTGGTCTCTTAGAGAAAGACAAATTCATCACTAACATCAATCCCTCCTCCCCCGAACAGCAAGAACCACCACCAGTCCTTCTCCCAACCTCCTCCACACCGCACAATTCTACAGAAAACCAGTGGCTTCAAGAGCTGCTGAGTCTTCTGCTGCAGACTGCCTGCCTCTGCATCTTCAGGAACATCCTTATCTTTTAAAATATTCACCGACAATAGTCAGCTAGATTTCATAATCTTAAGCAGTTCAATCTCTATTTTAAAGATCTAAGGAGGCAGCTTGATAAGTAAAGACTGCAGAATTCCTGCTCTAAATGCTGCAAACAAAAATGTGACTCCTCAAAGCTAATAGGATTTTGGCTCCTAAATGGGAGTGTCAGTTGTGAGTTAAGCAGTGAAAATACACACAAGAATGCTTACATCATGCCTTGGTTCTCCAGCATGAGATAGAAACACTGTCACTGTATTTGGCTGGCAGTCCCAACCATCAATTTCAGTAAAATTTTTATTATTACTTTTGTGAATAGAAGCAGTGTTACCCCAAAGCACCATTAGCTGGCCACCGAGCATTCAGTATTTCCTATAAGAGATGCCCTGCTGCTGAACTCAGAGTGAACTGGGGATACAACTTTCCCCTGGAACCTGCTAGATCCCATGGACTCTTCCGCCCTTCACCCCAAAGAGGTTGTTCTGCCATCTTACTTGCACCCTACTGACGTCACATCTGAAGTAGATGCGTGTCCCAGATCATAGCTTTCCAACGTGCAGCTACCAGAGCTCTGTCTGCAAGGCCAATCCCAGCTGTGCACAGGAGAGTTATTTGGGCATGAGGTTTCCAAGGTCAGAGCATCTGTTAAGAGATAAGCATGACGAGTGGTGGTCATTGGCAAAGCTGAATTTGGTCACGTGTCAATTTTTGACTAAGTGTAAAATAATCGAGAAGCAGACCAACCAAACACAGGTTTATAAGGCAGCTTCCATCTTGGTATGGAAGGGTTAGGTTATGGGGCCTTAACATATTTTGTAGATGGAGAGTCTGTGGCACCTGGGGATGGGGATTTTCCA